ACTGTATGACTTTCGTCATTTATTTTAAGTATTAAGACAGTATTATCATTGTTATACACGTATACTGGTCCCCTAACTTTGCCGAATGATTCGCCCTACATTTGTCTGCTTCCTGCTGACTTTTTTCATCCTGTACGACTAATAAATTATCACGTTAATCCCAGTAGATCAAGGAATATGTTCAGCTCGTCCAATGCCAACGAATATCAGTCAATGACATTACTAGTAAGAACCGTTGATGTATGGTTAGATAAAAACTCGGTCAGTAGGACACGTGATGTTGCCAACACGTGTTTTTTGGAATGTAACAACGAGGTTAAAGTATGCCCGCTTTAATCATGTTTGTCGTAGAAAGGTCCTGTTGCTGTGATTTATACGTTTTGTTGGACAGAGCGCGTGATTGTTGCAATTCTAAGTGGCTTTTCTTGTCAAAGCAGAGGATGTTGTTGCGTCAGGTTTGACATTGATTGTGAAGAAATAGCGCTGCTTGATTAAAACAAAGTTAGAGCACTTTTTGTGCATTCTTAAGCTCCATAGAAATGTATGTTATTTGGAATCTGGGACTTCATTAGACTAAGGGGACAACAGCACCCATAACGCATTTTAAACATCAAACCCAAATATCAAGACGTTTGAAAGAACGTTTTAGAAACTTTTCTTGGCTTGCAATTACTTAACTAATTTTATATAACATCAAATTTAGATAATACACCTAGATTTCAGCCGGTGATGCATTGTTGAAGTCATCTATCCTGGACACTAAATACGTACCGTTTCACCACTAATGGACATTACGTTAAAGTAATTTCCAAATAAACATCGGATCATATAAGCTCTGTAGTAAAGGAGAGAAAGGGAATGTAGGAATTTGAACGATTTTTTTACAAGGTGTCGCTGTCCTATCTTTCGTGTATACAAACATTTTACCTATCCATGAATAAATATCAATTACAAAATGTATGTCAATGGTCCACTTTCCCGTTTCCAGTTACCACTTACCTAGTTACATATACCAGGTGACGATAATGAATGAATACTATATCATACCTGCTAGCCTCCCTGTCACATTCCGGGTACTACAGGTACACAACAGCTGTACACAGTTGATACTTGTATACCAAATCCATCTACCAGAAACATTATTGATATAATTTAGAGACGGGTTAGTAAATGTTATTCACACGTGTTACTTTCAATAAAAAAAAAGGTCTGTCCACTTACAGCTGCATAACTGACATTGTAATTCAAGTTGTTCATATGTTCGCACTGTGGGATATAGATATCAGGTGCAACAGTTGAAAGGGAAGCCGATATATCGCCGTGTCTAGTATAAATAAGACAGAAATGGAGACTGTTACGGTTCACATGTCTACCTCAACTACATCATTTGATGTAATATTTTTCACCATATTTTCGGGTAATCCTGAGATGTCCAACTGGTTGCAGCCTGAAACCTTGATACAAATGTCAGCACAGTGCAAATGATTTATCTATAAATGACCTTGACTTACTTCAGCACTGTAACAATGACCTTCAGAAACTGGTCGTTACTATAACTTCATTCTTGTCGTTTGATTGTATTACCTTGTAACTTTAAAACAACTTTACTATGCAGAGACAGTACCAACATTCAAACTCAAACTCAAACACAAGGACAAAATTTGAACCATGAAGCAGGAGGGGCGCTAAACAAGCACAAAGGGGATCAGACCAGGTGTTCCGGTAGGATAAGAGTCTTCTGCTTCATTGACGATACATGTCAAGCTAATCATGCTTAATCCATATAAGTAATGTCACGTTCCCAAATAAGAACAATGAAAACAACAATAAAACCACGAGGCATACTAACGAGCATCAAACACGTCTTAGAAATTGAAGAATAGGAATAGGTGGACTAGTAATGTCGGTCAGTGGGTCGTTTCGTACAACTTCTCTCAGTAAATAAATAGTTGTTTGGAGGTTCTGAAAAATCAGGAATGCACCATGCCGAGTTCTCTTTATGTGATGAATAACTAACATTCCTCAACCATAATGTTACATGTCAACACATATAGATTATGATCCAGAAACAGCGTCAACCACCCTAGTTTAATGTCGGTCAGACATGGATTATGTTTGGATAATATGGCAGAACTTTGTTTCATATGTTATCCTTGAGACTTGGACAAATTTATGTTTACATTCTACACCGCCGCTGCTGATAAATAGGTCAAGAGAACAATTGTTTACCCATGCACAGCAAGCTCTACGTTATCTAAATATCGCTTTTAATGAAAGGTAAATGTAGCTTAATGTATGAATGTTTCAATGTAAAAAAAAAGCGAAGAATGACATGTTGCACTCTCCCTAAAATTTGTTACGATCCCGGCCGATAAGTTTGGCGAGTAAATCAAAGTTTTAATGAAAACTTATTTCATAAAAACTTGGTTGTCAGAGCGCGTTATTACTTACTTACTTGCATCGGTCAATTTTTATTTTACATGGAGGACATCGTTGATGAAACAGATAACGTTGTCCCTTCCAGAACATCTTATTCTGTTCAATAATATCTTAAGAGCCATTCTGGCTAGTCTTTCTTTTGTTCAAATTTTACTCTAATATATAGACGTGGATCAGTATAAAGCGTTTATAACTGCTCTGCAACAAAATGTAAACCTATGAAACAAATATTCATAACAGTTTCACATGTAAGTTATCATCGAAAGTTATTTTTTCCGATTTTATTTTCTAAAAAGTAAACGTAAATTGGACGCCTTGAGAACATTGATACCAATGCACTCCTACCGTTGCATTTATAATGCTATTCCCCAATAAAGTCTTCTTGTATTTCCTAAGTATGAATGAACAAGCCCATTGGACTTTAGACCTGATGTTGTAAGACGTGGACTTTGTATCCCGAGGGTTTTCAAAGTAAAACATAACGCTGCTATACTTCTCCGGTTACACTACCAACTTTAAAATGTTTTATGAGAGGAATTTCCGACAAGAAGCGTTTTATTTTTCTTTATTACAGTTATACGACTCCTACAAAGTCGCTGACGCGTGATAATTCATAAGAAATAATCTATTGTCATGGTTATATAATTAAAATCAGTTTATACTGGTTTTTAGTGAAACCTTGCCCCAGTAGTGTGTATAGATACAGCATGTAGATCTGATCTAGTATACAAACTGTAGACACAACATTCAATTCTGCGCTAAAGTCCAACTATCATACCGAATGTTTTGGTAAAACCATCAGAACGACACTTCATCAGTGTCCGTGAACTGGAGCAAAGGAATAATTATGGTAACAACCAATTCGTGTAGAGTACCGAATGGAACCTTGTATCTAATGTGTTGACTTTCTCTGTGTTATACCGATAAAATGAGGGAATAGAAAGAGAATTTGTCCGGAATAAAAGGAAACGTGTTGACTATATCCACGTCTGAAAAACAAAGTTATCGTTGTGTTTGATATAGACATTACAACTTATATTACAATAGTCAGACTGCATATGATGTATTTTCATACGGTTCGGAATTCAGTGTTTCGGTTTCGTTGTATTCGCTTCCTTTTAGAACCCTACAAGATGCTCTGCTTTAAATATTGCTTGTTATTTTTAAAAACTAACAAAAGAATACGGACATTTAAGCCATACCGCCGTTCTAAATTTCATAAACGGCAAAATCTCGACCACACGACAGTTTTACGCATAGCCCAATGGCAAAAATAAAATCGTTTTCTTTTAAATCGATGACACCTTCAATGTAAATCTAAGTCAAATCGAAGTAATGTCATGTTCTCAAAATGAGAACTGGATTAGTGGAAACGAAACCATCCAGCATATTTGCAAGCATAACGTTTATGTGCATGAAAATGTATATATGCCGGTGATCTCATGATGGCGAAAATTAGATCTCAAAAGTGTTGAGTATGGTAAATCAACTTCTGTTTGTATCAGACATACTAGAAAGTACCACGGATGTTTAGTATACTGTGCAGATTGTTGCAGGTGTTTACTTCAATAGGTATATAGTAATAAGGTCTTCTGTTTACTTACTAAATAGAATTCCTATGTGTTTAGTGTAAAACACAAGGTTACATCATTATTTACAGCCATTCGAAGACGCTGACAGGGATTAATCTAGATTATGTAAACACCATTAGATCCGATTTCTAGACGTTATTGGATACCGATATACACCTGACAGGTGTGTACAGGTGTGTATAGGTGTTTACATGCATACTGCTATCAAATAAGAAACCTGTCCTTAAATATATGAAAACAAATTGATGCTGTAAATAAGGGTACCGACAACTTTATTGACAGTTTAGCGAAAAAAATATGTGTTTATATCCTTTAAAATGTCTTTTTCTCCAACAACAGTGTGATCCAGTTGCCGTAGAATCATCTTGAGACTGTCTATTCTCTTTACAAATTAAAATGTTAGATGTTTTCTTAAAGAAAGTTGTAAGGGCCTACAGATGAATGACGTTATGTCGTACCCTACGGGGTCACAGTGACCTGGCGACCAGATCGTTCTGACGTACTTCAAAGAATAGACGGGAAGATATTTTATTTTTTGTGTCACAGCTGAAAATGGACATATTTCTCATCATCTTTCCAGTCCTTTTTAACAGACGGAAGGGACGTACATTATTTGTCACAAAAGCCATAAGTCCGAACAACTTAATTTTTTTCTGATTCATTTTAAGGATCGCTCGGGGAATGTAGAATTAAAGGCAGAAAGGTCGGGTGAGGGGATCAACAAGGCAAGAAAAATATCAATTCGTCCGTTTTCAGTTGAGGTTGAGATAGATGAATTCCAATCACCAAGGAAAGATTTATAAGTTCCGAAATATTCGACAAGTCTCATTGTGGAAAATCCTCCCATAGCTTCCTTCAATGAAGATAACAGTGTTTTGGAGCTAGTGATAGGAAAGATTCCTGATTCTTTAGAGTGATGAATGCACGTGCTATATAATAAATAACAATGTTTCTATTTCTGACTCACAGGTTGGAATGATGTCGGCTGGCATAATCGATACATGCGGACCCCCACCATTAACCGCCTAGCTAGACAAGGGGTCATTCTCAACTCTTCATATGTCCATCCCACGTGTACACCGTAAGTGATATAGAATATGTCTTTATTTATTAGTTAATCATACTGGCATGCTGGTCCTCTCTAGTTATCCTGTTACAAAGAACTTCTGGTCACTGTAGCAAGCCTGTTACAAAGAACTTCCGGTCACTGTAGCTAGCCTGTTACAAAGAACTTCTGGTCACTGTAGCTAGCCTGTTACAAAGAACTTCCGGTCACTGTAGCTAGCCTGTTACAAAGAACTTCCGGTCACAGTAGTTAGTCTGCTACAAAGATCTTTTGGTCACTGTAGCTAGCCTGTTACAAAGAACTTCCGGTCACTGTAGCTAGCATGTTACAAAGAACTTTCGGTCACTGTAGTTAACCTGCTACATATAACTTCCGGTCACTGTAGTTAGCTTGTTACAAGAAACTTCCGTCACTGTAGCTAACTTGCTACAACGCACTTCTGGTCACTACCATTTTTTGTCTGTAGTCTCGAAGCTTTTTCTTTCTAACCTTTCCAGCCTGCTACACGGCAGTTCCATTAATTGGTCACTTCCTGTTACTTTCATCTTGTGTTATTCAGAACCCCGTCCTTCCTCACCCTCTCTTTGTCTACTATACGGAACTCATCGACCCTTTCTGTTCCTGATATTCTTTGCTACTCGGGGCTCCTTCTTGCTGACCCTCTCTCGTCTGCTACACGGAACACCCATTCCATACCCCTCTACATTTAATTATCATATCTATAGATAAGGGAACGTATTATTGCATTAGTATAATATAGTTTTCAAAATATTTTCTCTGTGAAAACAGTTGAAAACTGGATTAAACGGTTTACTTTATATCTGGCATAACACTGAAGATACGAAACGGCTTTATGTTTGATTTCATTACAAAAACATATCTGCGAAAAAATTCGAAGATTAAAAAAAAATAAAAAAACAAAAACAAAAAAAAAAAATGTTATAAAAGAGACTTTTGCTTTGTCAGCGAAACCTGATCGGTATGAAAATCCTTTGAAGATTGTTCGTAAATATCTTCAAAACAGTATCACTTTAAATAATCTCCCATAACGGAGATATGAGAGACGAGATTATCTTTGTTCTTTAAAGAATCCAGTATAATTAATATGACTGTATATAGAAAACTTTTCAGGTATGACTTACCTCGTTTCGCTGATACCGTCGAATAAATGATATTGTATTTATTAAATAGTATAATTTTGTGATGAAAGAAAAAACTAATTCACAACACCGAGTTTGAGAGGGGAGATAATAAAAGCTTTGTTGTAATTGTTAATATCATTGGATTATCGTATAAAGTTTTTTTCCACAACACATGTTCTCTATCACTTAGGCTTGTAATAATTCTTTTCAAATTGAACCAGTTTTAAATCACAGTCTTATAATCTGACGTTCTATCGATTTTTTTCATATAAGTTTGGTGTTGAACATTTTTCTCTTATCATATTCGGATAGAGAATCTGTGGACAAACGAGCATGATCTGTCCATCCCGGACGGTCAGTGATAATACACGTGTGTCCACGGTACATTGACATTGACCAATAAGTATACCTATGGTAGCTAGGACATAGCATGGTCAATGATCTCTTGTGGTCCACTGACCTTTGTTGCTGCCTACGTTTGTTTATTTTACAGACAATTCAAATATATGAAACGAAGCTTGTCATAAAATGTGTATTTGTAAACGAAGCAAAATCAGTGGAAGAAAAATGTAAACAGATGTTCGAGATTCCGAAAAATAAATTGCATACACTGTATAATATGTTTGTTTATCTCAAAGCATATTTCTTATCTTAAAGTTAGTAGCTTATTTGCAATGTTTCGTTTCTTGTTTTTTGGGGTTTTTCTTTTTGTCACCTGTACAATCGTAGCAAAGGATAAATGGTAAGGAGCGATAAACCCAAATTATGAAAAGGGAGAGAAATCAAAATACTTCGAACTTTAGCTCGAAGTTTTGTTTTTCTGTAATATGGTGTTTAAAACAGTCTTGGCGCTATGTTTTCTCTGTATGTAACCGTCCCATTCGTAATCAGGCTTCTTATCATTACCCGGGATAATTCTATTAATTTGTAAAGCGATTCGATATCTATTTTTAGATCTAACTCGATGTTTATTATATAGTTTTATACTTAGTTTTATCCGGATTTTTACATCTATTTAATCTCTTCTCCTTACAGATCCCGGAGTAGCATTCTCACCGGAATATATCCTTTCCGGCTTGGACTACAGGTATAATATATTACCACACACAACCCAAAGCTCGATCCAAGTTTGATGACATAAGCAGATTTTCCGTGTCAGTTTTACATATATAAGCCACTTTTACAGGATCTATGTTTTCTGTGTGTCTCAACGAACGACGATGGTTTGTTAATTTAATGAGGTTTCTTGGCTTATCGTCTCATTAATGCTTGTGTTGCAGACTATTTACACCCAATATTGACAATATTTTGCGCGTAATGTATTTTAGAATTTTCCAATCGTTATTACCAAAATAAGAAATCATCATTGATTATTTTAATATGTATTTCAACGACTTCTGCTTAGAATTAATCTGGTTTTCTATTTTCAATTCCGATATATCATTTCACGTTACAATGCAAATAACCCATTCGTTAAGTTGCTCCAAACATTTCAATACCAAAAGGCATTAAATACCTACTTGGTTAAATGGAAGAATATCGGAGACAATGTGACAAGTTTAGATTTTGGAGTTTATCATTCACTGTTTAATTGCTTGTTGACGGACAGAATGGGGTCATCAGACCCTCCGAAGCCAAGCACCTGCCAACCAATTATTCAACACTTCCGGAAAAACTGCAGGAAGCCGGATATGCAACGCACATGATTGGAAAGTAAGTCCCTAAAATATCACTATATAAATGGGTCTTTTTGTCGATTCCTATTGGAGCACAGACTCTCGCACATTAAGTGTTAAATAAAGCGTGGCCAAATGTACAGTATATTTTAACCATCTTTTGAACTTTTCTCCATAATCTTTTTACCATCTCTTCACATTATTTTCTAATGTTAGTACGCTTCACATTAGTCTTTTGACGGATGAAGGTGTCCGTGCAGTCATCGCAACATCACACTTAGATATTCTATTGGCTCTGATACGAGAACCTATGTTCTAATGTAAGAAAAATGGCAATTCTTGGTAACAATCGTGTTGCATATTTTGATTTTAATGGTACATTTTCACGTACGATATAAAAACAACAAACGAAATGAAAGACCGGTTTTGCCTTAACGTTTGGTATGTGTAACTTTTGTTGAATTGAGCGTGTTTTACCTAGATGCTAGAATCCCATATGGATGTTTTAGTCTTTTGCAAAAAGTTCCATGGGTAGTGAAAGACATTGACCTTAAAACAAATTAGGGGGCGATAACGTCCATAGTAACACACGCAAGTGCTCCACGAGAAAGGTAAATCACCCGAATAGGTCGAGTCAGTCACTGGGTCAGTTTGGGACAATCACCTGTCCAGATGGACGTTAGATGCTTATCAGGTGATAGACGATGACCCGATCAAATCGGTTCAGCAGTTTTATGAGTTCGGTATTATACTTCTCACCCCATATATGTAACCTATATACACGTATGATAACAGACGTTGACCTTCCAGGAATTTCACCTTTCTCGTATTAATCAACGATTGTCTTAGCCTCGAAAAAAAAACATCAACTGTTTTACTTAATAATACAAAAACATAGCATTTGGCCTTACGCATTGCACAAAAGACATACAAGTGAATATCACCTTTTCAAGGAATATGATTTCCCTTAGACAGTTTATTTGCGACTGTAAACTTAAGAAGAAGCATCATTCTAAAGGAAGGACTTTTGTTATTTTCTTGATAGCTTTACTTAATTTTCTAAACACCATAAATGTCACAGATTTGATATTCTAGACGACAGTTCTCGTGTTTTGGTATGTTATTGAGCGGATCTGAAGTACAGCTAAACTCATGGAAACTGGAACGCGTCATGTACTTCATGAAATCAGGCATGTTCTGTTAATCTTTCAGATGGCACTTGGGGTTCTGTAATTGGCGGTATACTCCCACTCAGAGGGGTTTTGACAGCTTCTTGGGTTTCTACACCGGAGCGCAGGACTACTACAAACATACGAGAGGTAGGGAGAGAAAATCCTGATTCTGTAAGGAGACTCCATAATGATCGCCGCGCACGATCATGTTGTGGAAACTAATAAAAGTGTATATATCTGTCTCTGTATTGATCTGTATATGGTATTCAGAATCAACATTTTTGTCTTTTTGTTGTTAATTTATGATGTCCACAGTGAACATTGATTTTCCTCGTTTTTATGTTGTGACTTTCAATGCACATTTAAACCTTGTCCAATTTATTTCTTTATTCTTTCAGAAAATGGTTACGACTTCAGATTTAATGCGTCTGTTTACCATCCCCCGAAAAAGCAATACTCGACAGTAAGTATGTGCAAGACGTGCGGACCTAAATCGATAAAGTATTAATCAACGCACGAGGAATAATTCTTCAAATTTGGCGGTCAGTTTTGATGATGAATGATTATTGCATTTAATGATAATATACTGACGGACTTCAACGATGCGCCTTCAAGTATATCTAAACATAAAAATAGGGTTTAAATTTTACCATCTTAATGATAAATTAGTTGTAAATATAAACGTCAATATATCAGATAAGAAAGTGCAAAGGTCAAATTTCATCACAAACTAACGTATGAACTAAGCTACATCTGAAATCCACAAATTTCATTCCGTATCTGGTATGGCCATCACTTGCAGCAACATGTGCTGAGTCTGCAGCTCATGGAGTCAGACAAATATGTTACTGGGTCGATAACATATTCCTCCTGGACTGGGGTAGACAATTCGTGAACGGTACAAGGTTGACGTTGATGTGTTCTTCTCCGGCTAAAGTCGCATCGTACAGCTTAGATAAGGTTAAAACAGGAGATCAGGCGAGAAAAAGCATTACGTTAACTTAACCCATTGTAAAACATGTTGTATTCCATGAGCGTTATCTTACTGAAATTTCAACGCATTGTTTACATGGTTGAAGTCGTAGCAGTGGGCCCATTGCAAAAGATTCCAGAATTTAGTTGGTATGGCGCCGAGCTGCCAGCATAACATTCCTCCTCGCCACGATATGTGTTAACTAAGAGTTGCTCAAACAAATCACAACGCCACAATTCCTAATATTCTTCTCTTTCTCTCATTCTTGTATTTGGATGAACTATTTATTCATAACGTAATGTATCTGCGTGTGACGTCATGAATGGCGTTGTAAGTCGATTATGCAGACAACGTAGCCATAACAACATCATGACGTTTGGCAGTGACGCGCGGTTGGCCAGATCTTGGACGGTTCCTTACAAAGATTGTACAAAACATACAAGAGAATAACACCTTTTGGTACAAATTTAGATTTAGATACACTAGAGCTGATCAATAGATCAAATTGTATCATACAGCTGTTCCGACCCTCTTGGACTCTACAGTGATAATAATGGTCTAATTTTGAGCCGAGGAGGCAAATGAGGAAATTCCGAAGCGATCGAAAGAAAGTAAAAATCTATATGAGGATGTTTCCTAGCCTCATAATCCTAAATATAAATATCGTAGAATATAATTCTAAACCAACGACATGGTCCTAATCCTGACACAACGTTCTGCCTACTGCCTAACAATAAAGTTGTACTAAATACCTACCACAACCAGACCAATCAAGCGTTAATAATAACCTTCAGATGTGTTTATCCATATCACTTCCTTTCACGGGCAAAATGATCCTTTAGAAAACCATTCACTGAAACTCAGCTATAAGATGGATTGTTCTGTTAGGGTTAAGAGACCTCGATTTTTTCTTGTTCAATGTTGACATTAAATTGTCAGAAACAGAAAAGAGTAAACAAATTATAGGTACGTTTTAAAGTCCGTTGTGGTGTGTTATCAAATCGTATGTTCCATATATAGAAAGAACTGTATTAATATATCTATAAAATGTTCCTTCCCCAGAAAACTTACGCTGATCGTGCTGTTGAGGTGATACGGGAGAACCAAAAGTCGGATAAACCCCTATTCATGTACCTGTCATTCCAGTCCGTCCATACTCCACTACAGGTCTGATTTCATTCTACATTTAGGAAACGAGTCTAAGAAGTTATTAATGTAACAAACTTCTACACATCTAATAGGAAACACAATTGACTAATTTGATAAATACTTGTGAAATTGAAATGAGTTTAGTATCTTCCTTATCAATTTTGTAACCATTTTAGCGTTCATCATTTTTTATGATAAACCAAAATTTAGCCAATGAGAATCAGCTGATAAATGGTACAACTGTACAACACTATCATAATTTGTTAAAGGGAACTAACTCTCAGACATCTCTTATCTGAGAAAAAAAACCCTGATAAATGGTACAAGTGTACGACACTGTCATAATTTGTTAAAGGGAAATAACTCTTACACGTCTCTTATCTGAGAAAAAAACATCTATAAAGATAATGACTACGTTTTATTTTCGAAATCTCTCCCCAAAAGTGTATTGACTTCGAAACGAGGCAATTGACTCTTGAAATTCTATTTCATTCACAGAACTGTTAACAGCTTCTATTTTAAAAATATCTAGGTTCCAAAAAAGTTCCAGTCAATATATAAGAATGTTAAGAACAAGGACAGGAGGATATACAATGGTAAGCTATCATATGTTTTCTGTAAACCGTTCCGGGTTAGGTTGTATATTGTGACCTTCAAGGATTGTACAAAAGACGTGTGAACAACACCTTTTAATAATTTAGAGTTTGATACAGTATAGTCAATCAATTAATCAAACTGCATTATACAGCTGTCTTGTCCTTCTAGGACTCATCACTGAGTGTAAGGACCTAAATTTGGAAGCTTTCTTTCATCTTGAATATCAACAAAATAAATGGAAGAAAAGAGATCAATTTAAACGGGATAACGATAACCGCACAGCAATGAAGTCAGATGGAATGGAAAATGAAATATTTTGTGAACGTCACTGTACTGATAAACGTTATCAGGCCTCGAGGTCGGATTTTTCAAACTGTCATACATGGTATTACGCTTGCTTACTTAAAACGGAAACCTCCATTTCTTCAAATAAAATAATAACCCTACTTTTTGTTCACATCATCGAATAGTGTACCTGACTAACAATAATATTTCCCTCCTAAACGTTGTTGGTAATGTCACTTAAATGACAGAATTCAGAATATACTTATGTATTTGACGTTTGTGAAATTATCAGAAATTTGAAAAAAAAAAATTAAAAATATGCGCCAAGTGCACCTTCCCATTTAGATTTTATAAAATGTGAATTAATTAGAGGCTGAATCTTTTTTCACAGGTATGGTCACAGCTATGGACTCCGCTATAGGCACTGTCATTGCTGCCCTGAAAAAATATAGATATTTACAGAACTCGATCATCGTCTTTACGACCGATGTAAGTATGTGTAACTATATATTTTGTTACTGTGCGTGATTACATTACATTTTTTGAAAAGTGATCAGTCATAGAGAAAATAAATTTCTTTCGTTCAAATTTTCTTTTCAATACAGAAGTTTCAGGATAGCACTAATATATCAGACAGGTGCTGGTGTTTTGGAATAGTTGCAGATTGCTTTTACTTTTTAAGAGACTTCTATATATGAAAGATGAGAGATATCTGACAGAGACATTTATTTGTAACATGTATATAATATGTCTATTTTGCAGAACGGAGGAGCCGCTCACGTAGCCGGAAATAACCTTCCCCTGAGGGGTTCCAAGACTACTCTATGGGAGGGTGGTACTCGGGCGGTATCCTTCGTACTCGCCAAGAAATACCAGAAACGGAAACGCTTTGTTCATGATGGGTGGGTACCGCATAATGTGATTGGGGAATTTGGTATGGTAACAAATAACGATAAACAAACCTGTCCAGAATGCTGAGTCCCTCTCTCTATTTCTTTTTATTTCCTTTTCGCAACTTTTCATACAAAAGAGTTCCAATATGAGTAATACTAAATGCTGAACCGTACCTAATCCAGTGGGCGATGGAACGATAAGACCAAGCAATTATCTCCCATCTCTTCACCCATTACATACACACAACAATAAGCTTGACAGTTTTTTTTTTCTTTCTTTTTTTTTTTTTTTTTAGAAAATTAGAGAATTAGAAATTGTCAGTCCCGAAAGTTTCCTAATCTCAGCTTAAGACAATACTTTTCTCCCTACCAAAGAAAGACGAGTTTGAAATGTCCCGTGTATAATGTATATATTACTTATCTGTCATGAAACGAATGCCTACATGTTAATTAAAAATGCAGTGTTTAACTGTTTTACGTTAACATTCATTATGAAAGTTAAAGTTAACTGACACTCGCTTGTCTGATTTTGTCGTTCATGGTTGGAATTCACAGTGACAATAAATATCAGCTACAGTTTAATTCTTCTTGTCCATCATAAAGGCCTAAACGCCGTCATCAAGCGATATTTTGATATTTTTTATCTTGAACAGTAACAGTTTCTATGACCTAGCAATGATTTGAAAGCAAGTGTGTCCCTCTTGCAGGTTGTTCCACGCCGTCGACTGGTTCCCTACACTACTAGCAGCGGCTGGTGTGAAAACTAAAGGTGATGTCACATTACTTGCATTAAATCTCCACTACTTAACACTTCAGTCCTGTAGTAATAGAGAAAATGTCCAACGTTCGCTTGGGACAACACTGTACAGTAGACATTCCTTAAACAGTCTGAAAACAATGACTGCATTCAGACCATTGATATCATTGCGCCCGATAGTTATAATATTAATATGTAATCAATTGAGGCGTTCCAACGTTTAGACAAGTTTGATATTACAGGGATGGACTTAGACGGTGTGAACCAGTGGCCCATGTTGAAGGGAAAGCCATCCCGAAGGAGGGAGTTTATCTACAACATCGACTCCAGTAACATTGGGTCCTCTGTAGCCGCCATTAGGTATGTGGGGTCACGTGACATGCGTCGAACAATCTTTGTTGGATCGTTTTTGGCTACAAATAATGCGAAACAATTTCTGAAGCAAAGAAATTAATATTTTCTCAATAATATTGCATTTTTAAGATGTGTACATATTTTTCGCGATTATACTCTTTAACATTCCCGAAAAAAGAAGATAAAGAAATAAACGAAAATTGTAATATAGTTTCAAAATCTACAAAGGTATCTAAGAGTGAGCTTGATTCGTGACTTACTGTGTTTTAGATATGGTGATTACAAGCTGATTCAAGGTAGCCCTGGAAAATACAACGACTGGTATAGAGTACCTAAGAGCCCCGCTAAATGTACCAAGTTTAAGGAGATCCAAGACGAAGAAGAGAAAGACTACTTTAGATATGGAGGTCTGAATCAGGTGATGAAGAAGGTAAAAACCTACTTTTCCTGGGTGTTCGGAAAGGTGACCGGGGTCAGCTGGAAACATTACCGCTTCAAAAAACTACAGAAACACTGTCTTCAGGAGGAGAAGAAATTAATGAAGAAGTTTATCTTCCCCAAATACCAAATGTTTGACATCAGAAGTAAGTTGAACTATTACGTTGTTATGTTACGGGTTATCGAAGAACCTAGTCCTTGTCTTACCCTTTATCAACATAAGAACATCACTGGCGAGTCCTAGAACGACGAAACAGCTGTATGATGCAGTTGTTATTCTAGATATTATACTATAATGTATTATTCACTTGAGTGTCTTTTGTACAATCCCTAAGAGTTCTAATATACCAGCATAACGGCCAAATGCCCAGAAGTCTGGTGTGCGATTTTCGGCTTATCATTCAAAAGTTCATTTTTGCAAAAACAGCTTATTTGTGAAGTCATCATATTTTTAAATCAAGAACGCTTAAGTGTTTAGAGTTTTTCATGAAAGGTTGACATAAGTTAAACAGACGATGACGCGAAATTTTCATCTGTGATAAATGATTTAGATATTTTTGAACAGGGATACCAATGCATGTGTAAAATGCTCACGGAGAGAAGGCGTCTTTTAAAAACTTGCTTATCAAATATTAATATTTCTATCTCAATAATGTTGGAAGAAAACTTTAATACAAATGTATTATTATATTGACAGATGATCCCACTGAAAGACATAACATTGTTATCGACAAAATTCAAGTATTCATCAAGATGAAACGTCGATTGGACAGTTATATTGCGAAGGCGGTGGAGCCTCAAAGCCGGAGAAAATATACCCGCTCTAACCCGGATTTCCATGATGGTGTGTGGTCAGATGGCTGGTGTTAAAGGCAACAACAGGCAAACATATCTGGTGTAGCAGTGCCAAATGTCTTACTCTACAAACATTGAAAAAATAAATATGATTTATTGTCAGGGCTGTTTCGGATGGAATCTCAATATTACATATATCGTTTAATAATATCATTGCCGAGATTCTTCACTTCACATAACGAAGTCAGTTAGGCGTTTAGATTGCATACATATCAACATCATGAACCCGCTTCATCTTGATTGTGATGGAAGCTTTATTGAGGCACATGGTGGACCAAAGAAATTCTGCTGGTCTATAAGAGGAATAGACTTGGCCGGTTTCGTGTTTTACATTCAAATTCATCTGGTGTCACTAAAATGTTCAGCAGAAGCTAAATATCATACGTCTTCACCTGTTTAGAACGGTAAAATTGTGTACGGGCGGACGTCCGGACAGAGAATTACACATCATTGGATCTGACTCCATATACAACCACTTGGAACGTCCGCACGATAACTGATATAGATATGTATGATGTCTTTGGTAGTTAATTACATTTCTTTTTGTTGTTATTTTGTTATTTTCACAAAGTTGTTGTGGTGCTTGTTCCATAATGTGTTCAATATTACTTCCTGGAAATAATGAGAATATGAATGAAAATGGTTGGAGTCCCTTTAATGTCAATCGTAACGTATCAATATATTGTGGCTACAGGGATACCAGCCTAAAAATGATACAGGTAAAACATTCTTAGAACGATTATAAATCATACAGGTAAGTAATTACAGAAATACACTGTAAAATAGTTTAGGTTAAACCAGGTCGTGGTGATATCAAATGTCGGTGACGAATTTTGTTTCATATTTATATAAATATATAAGGTAGGTTTTTATCGTCCCTAGATTAAAATTACGTATAGTTGGTACTACGGACGCTTTAATTGTGTTTGCCCTCTACACCACTTACTGGTGGTTAGCGGTAGCAATTTGAGCTCTTACTGTTTGATACCAAATGTCCATCCACTAAATAAGCGACAGTACCTATTATTAGAAAGTTGCATGTTAGGGATGTTCAGTACTGTAATCAAGGTGTACATTTATCATAATTTTAACCAGTGGAGATTTTATTTCATCAGAACCGGTGATAGTATATGGTTATTTTAATTGATTGTAAGTTAGTTAATTGTATAACCGGTACTGGTTTATTTTCTGGACTGTGTCGGTAGTATGTTAACTAGTAACCAGTGCAGTTTATATTCCCCTAAACGTGGAGTTGTTTTGTCTGTGCTTGTTGTTTTAACCAGGGACTATTTATTTTGATGCCGCCGCTTACTTTGTTATAAGTGCATATGTAATGATACTTTGTTTATTTTGCCAACGGTAACAGTTTAAGATTTTCATGGCGCCTTATTTCTTTTAACCGGTGACAATGCGTTTGTAAGCGACCGCTTAAAGTTACTGTATCGATAGTGATGATCGCTTGAAATGACAGCTTATTTCTTTGAAAGTGGTTGAAGATTGAACCTACAGTTTATTTCCGTGATAGTGACGATCGCTTGAACTGACAACTTATTTCATTGATAGACACGAGAGTTTGAAGCGACAACTTATTTCCTTGATAGAGACGAGAGTTTGAGGCGACAACTTATTTCCTTGTCCTCAGATGCAGTTTATATTCTTGACTGGCGCTACCTTTCCTGTAAACAGTTTTTTTTAAACTGTTGACAAGATTATGTTCTCGAAAACAATAGTCACTGCCCTCTTATTATCAATAGCATTTCCTTTTTTTCGATGCCATTTTACTTTCATGATGTCAATGGTTATTTTCCTCTCGCTACCGGTGAAATTTCATTTTCTCCTTACGATGACAAAATATTTTTGAAGACCTATTATTATTTTTCTCTGGTTACTCTATGTTAAATACCTCTCTAATGTGTTAACAGATAAGGGCTACTGTTGTTGTATTATCAGGAAACTGTGTGCCAACTAGTATTTATACAAATACATATCACAAGCTCGTAGTCATGCCAAAGAGGATTTGATCCAGCATGCTTGTTTGTTTATTTTAATACAATGTTTACTACAATAACGCTGCAAATGCTTGTTGCTTATCATTGTTTTACTAGAAACATTTTACACTGAATGTCTATATTTGTATTACTGCTATGAATTATTATGCATTCCGACAGCTTTACGCACGAAGACCCCAGTCTCCTATTGACGATGACAACACACTGTGTGATCTGAATATGATAAGAAATATGATTATATTGTTAGTCAGTTCTACTTAAATTTGTAGTAATTTTAAGTCAGTGGTGAAACTTTCGAACTGTTGGTAATGGCTTCCTCTGGTGTCGTTTTGGCCAAGCGAGCTTATACAGTGGTAACGTCAAATAAAGTTTGTAAAAGCAAATGGCTTTGTCCAAAATCTGAGGTACTAAACGTAATTTTTGTCATGAACTTCAAATGACTTCTTCTGATAAATCAAAAAGCTTACAATCATGACATCTGACTAGTATCAAGGAAGGATACAAGGCTGCCGCGCAATAAAGTTTCTAAATGGAAATGACCTCGGACATATTCAAAGTCACAGGGGTCAAATTTGTTTTCCGGGAAAGAATCTTTAAGTCATTAATAAACATTATTAATTCTGAGTATAGTGCAGGTACTTGTTGTATCCACTTTGAATGTTAATGCTGTGAAACATCGAATACCAGGTGAGCGATCTAGAGCCTCATTTTACTTGTCCTAATTTGTTGGCTCATTTAAGCACACTCCCGAAGAAAGCGCGGAAAGGTTGGTAAGGGGATATTGTTGTGGGAAGAATCCATGGGAAACACGCCTGGTCGGGTGCAGTTGACGTAAGTCTGGTCGGAGGTTCGAACGCTGACTGTCTATGTGAAGGGAGTGTGCGCTCTCTCGACTGTTTCTTAAATACAGGCAATCATGGAAGATTTTTTCTATCTTTATTTTCAAATGAGGATTTCCGTTTGCTGGTATATGTGTGTTTTACCATAATAATTACACGAAGGGATGTTGACAAACACTTATGATGTTTCCAGCATACTGAAGTGTTGTTAAATAATATGTATTTGGTGAACACCTAATTCAAACGCTATGTAGACCCAGCAATGTTAGCCAATATGGTCAATAGAAATATATTTAACATCGTGTATTTTTAGCACCCGCAGTTGTGTAATTGATAAGTATTGTAAAAGTATTGCCATTATTTGTAATATATATATATACTTTGTTATTGGGTGAACTTTGTGATAAATAGTGCTACAGCCTATCTGATGCCTGTATAAGTATTTATTTTACAGCGTGTACTTTGTTATCGTTGTGAACTTTGTACTAGAAAAGAATGAACCATGTATAAAATAGAATGTACTAGCGGCGTGTATTGTGTAATAAAGTTGTTAAAGATATGTACACTTTCTGTTTTCTGTCCAGTTTTCACTTTTAAGTAGGTAAGACATATAACCGCCTGTTCGACATACTGGAGTGAATGTGACCAACAATGAAGTAGGGAAATGAATCGTAAATCTTCGTGTAATTTCGGATAAGTAACGACAGTAATATCCAAAAGATCATTTTCAGAAAAAAAATAGACTTGATGAATAGCAAATGTTATTTTTTTTACAGATCGTCGGATTTACCACGTTTTCACCAAAATGCACAGAAGCATGGTAGTTTCTCCGGATGTTGAATCTAATTCAATATTGTCAGACAAAACGCAAACCAAGCATGCGCTGATACCGGAAATCGGAAAGTCAAACTGGTCCAAATTTTTTCATGGAACGGTGGCATGTTCGATTTAAGCCGCCATAACATTTTTTCGTTGTTGTGATTTTTTTCCAATAGAACCCCTTTTTCAGAGACCAGTAACAGAAGCAAGTGTGTTTTAATTCTGTCATTCATATATATCGCAGTGACTACAGGTCAAACCCTTCCATGATGACGGTATTAATGTTAGAGCAGCCGATGATTCACACGAGTGTTCGAGCTTTGGTAAAATATCCTCTCAGTGTTCAAAGTGTCTTAATAAATTCGAGACGTTTGTTTTATCATTTCTTGTTTCTTTTTTAGGTTTAATTGCAACCTCGTTAATGGCATGTTTGTTCGTACTCACCACAGTCAGAACAATGCATGTTCCCTATTTTTAGACATCGTGACTCCAATTGTACATATTTACCTGTCACATCTATTTATGTATTGAAACTGATGCTATATATTCGCCTACGTGCCAAAGCTATTCACAGTGTGAGTGTGTGTATCACATATCGACGACAACATAAAGCATCCCCCTCCCCCCACCCCCCAAAAAAAAGAGGACGAATGAAACAAACAAACAAAAACGTGTTCGCAGCTAGTAACATGTTAGAGAGAACATTAACAGATCATTATTACTGTAAGCTCTTCACGAGAGTAATCTCCCTTGGCTTGTGATTTTGACGTATGGCGCCAACAGGTTTTACAGGTAAATATAACTGTGATTAATTGTATTTACAGGCGCACAGAAAATCGTGAAATGATACAATTTAAGCATCCTTGCCAGTTGACGATGATCACCAGGACAAACATCAGGACAAATCATCTGGATAAAACGTAGGTCATCACACCTGTTGATCTCTAGGTTTTTTACACGTGTGTAAACAGACAGACCAGTCAAGGACTAACTAGTGCACAAGAAATGAAATTACTCATCGCATTGTACAGTGATCTTGCTGTTATTATTGATGATATTTATATCAACAGTTTACACAGTCTTATTATTTAGTGGACAGCAGTCGGTAGCTAGTTAATGAATGTTTAGGTCATTGTCACATACAAATCTATAACTTAATGGTAACCCAAGAACTCACAACAGTAATTCTGCAACACAGTTTATATGTCACATAGCAGTCTAGATTCTACAACGCAGACGAATCTCATACAGAAATCTATAACTCATTGGTAATACATTACTTATAATAATGATTCTGAAACCCAGCTCAATGTCACACAGACATCCAACTCAGAGGTACATATATATGTGTAACACAAAACTCACAGTACTGAGTACGCAACACAGCTGAATCTCAATGGTACCACATTCACTAATGATAATGACTCACACCAATGATTCTGAAACACAGATCAGTGATTTTGTGGAAAGAAATATATTCTTTCCATGGGTGAATGCTAAGTTAGTTGGCTAAAGAAGACATTTAAGAACTCACATTTTGATTGATATCACACAGTATAGAAACAACTCAATATTTAAAGTCATTGGTACTCTATAAACTAGGTCAATGTTTAAGTCAATATCACAAAATATAAAAATAACTCAATATTTAAACTCATCTATATGTATATACAAGCCCACTGTTTAATGTGATATTGCAAAGTCTACAAAAAAAACTTGATGTTTAAACTCAGTTGTTACGATTTAAAGGAAGCACTTGATGTTATTGTTCACATTGTACAGAAGTAGGGTTTTTAGCTCACCTGGCCCAAAGGCGTTCGTCAACTTTTCATATAAACAACTTCTTCCAAAATACCGGAAGGCCTAGAATCATTATATTTGGCTGGAAGGTTCCTTTGGTGAAGTCCAACAAAGTTTGAAAACAGAAATGACCTGGACCCATATTCAAGGTCACAGAGGTCAAATGTGTTAAAACCTTTAAATGACTTCTTCCATAATACCGGAAGGCCTAGAAACATTATATTTGGCTGGAAGGTTCCTTTGATAAAGTCCAACAAAGAATGCAAAAAGAAATGCCCTTGATCCTTTTTCAAGGTCATACAGGTCAAATGTGTTAAAAACTTCAAAGGACTTCTTTCAAAGTACCAGAAGGCCTAGAACGATTATATTTGGCTTGAAGGTTCCTTTGCTAAAGCTCAACAAATTATGCAAAGAGAAATTACCTTGACCCATATTCAAGGTCACAGAGGTCAAATGTGTTAAAACCTTCAAACGACTTCTCCCCAGATACTGGAAGGCCTAGAATCATTATATTAGGCTTCTATGTTCCTTTTATGGCATCCTACAAAGTTTGCTAAAAGAAATTACCTTGACCAATCTTCAAGGTCACAGGGGTCAAATGTGTTAAAATGTTTAAACAATTTCTTATGAGATATAGAAATGCCTAGAATCATTATATTTGGCCAGTATGGTCCTTTTATGAAGTCCAAGAAAGTTTGCCAAAAGAAATGGCCTTGCCCCATAGTCAAGGTCACAGGGGTCAAATGTGTTAAAACTTTAAATTACATTTTCTGATGATCCAAAACATCTGGGATAGTGATATCATTCCAAAATAGGTTCTCAATGATGCCCGGTAATATTTGAGAACAGAAATGACAATGACTCATATTCAAGGTCACAACAGTCAAATGTGTTACACCTTTGAACAACTTCTAATTAAGCTAAAGGCTTAGGATCATAATATTTGTTCAAAAGGTTCCCTTAATGGTGCCCACATAGTGTGTGAAAAAATAGCTTGACCCATAATGATATTTAAGGTCATTGGGGTTAGATTTGGTAAAATAGTTAATCAACTTCTTCTGATTAACCAAAAATCCATCATATTTGGCCATTAAAGGCTTATATACAAATTACTTATTTTGGACTACTAAGGGACAGAACCCATATGGAGTAATTTGTCATATTGCTTTAAGCATCGACTGTGGAACATATGCACAGATATAGAACAGTTGGTCATAAAGATCCAGGTGAGCGATACAGGCCCTCTGGGCCTCTTGTTGATATTCATGAACAAACAAACTGAATGCTGATACAAACCAAATGATAAAAGTAATAGGTCTTTGGTCAAGTAAACATTTAGGTCAGTGGAATTATAGAATTAGGTCACTTGGTCACATAATTAAACTAGGACAATTCATCTTGCTAAACTAGATCACTGTATTGATAAGAACAAGATAACTGGGTCAGATTAGTAACTTAGTCACTGGGTCACAAAAAGATGTAGGGCAATGAAAAGATTCACAAAACTTTGTGTCAAAATGATAACTTCTATTACTTTCCACTTATTCCCAATCATCTACATAAGATCAAAGGTCACATAAATGTCATATATGTAGGTTGTTGTGTCTGGCAATTAAAATGTAAGTTATCACATACATGTACCTGGTATGAAACAATGTCAATTGTCAAGGTACTTAAGAGAACACGTTGGTATTTCTATACACAGAATGACACATATATTCATATGTATATCTTACATCAACATGTAAATCATTGGGTCAAATAAATTACTAAGAGATTAATAGATTACAATAGTCATGATCATATGTATATAACTAGGTCAGTGGAGCACATGAACAAGGAGGTCCATGGATAACATAGATTAGTAGGTCAATGGATCACTTAACATAAGTAGGTCAATAGATCACATTAACAGTAAGTAGGTCAATGAATCACATTAAGAATAAATAGGTCAATGAATCACATCATGAATAATTTAGTCCAGGATTTTCCTGATGAGTAGTGACCATGAATAGGTCAGTTGTTCAGATGAACAACTAGGTCAGTGATATGTAAACTAGATTAATGTTTGGAACTACATGTTAACTAGGTTAATGTTTTGCACCGTATATTAACTAGGTTAATGTTTGACACTGTATATTAACTAAGTTAATGTTTTACACCATATATTAACTAGGTTAATGTTTTTCTATGTATATTACCTAGGTTAATGTTTTACTTTGTATATTACCTAGGTTAATGTTTTACACCATATATTAACTAGGTTGATGTTTTACAATGTATATTAACTAGGGTAATATTTATCAAGTTCATTCATGCTGTGATACACTTGTTAACAAGTTCACTGAGTTTGATATGATTGACATTGTCTTATCTTTATCTAACCCTGACCTCCAATAAGATATCAAACCATGATTCCCCATCAATTCTGTCTATTTCTGTAGTAGTTGAAATGTAATAAAGATTGGTATTATCATTTGCCTGATAAACAAGTATATTTCACTGTTAATAGCAAAAAGTTGGAAATGGTGAAAATGCTAAAGTGTGCTGTTTGAATGTTACCTAAGCTACATCTTTAAACTTGTCAATTAGGGCACACTGGCTTGCCTCAAACTCCCAACTCTTTAGTATGAATATAGAGTGTGTGAAGTTTGATCCAGTCCCTTTTGGTTTCTTGTCCTGATTCCAGACATTTCTAGTCCTGGGTATGTTTGTGTTTGAGATGAACTGTACAGACCTTTAGAATACTGTGTTGTACTTCATTCAGATTGCTCTTGTTGTCAAAGATTAGTTATTTCCAAGTGATACAATACTGTTTTCAGCAGCTCCTCAATAATTTGTGTTCACATCTATTCCTTGTCCCTAAAGGATAATTGATTTAGCAATTTTCAATCATCAAAACCCATGATGATGAA